CCCATATGCAGGGTAGGGGAACAAAAATCAGTAATATTCAGCAATAATCAGTAGTGCCCCTAACACTGACCCTGACCCGAGGTCCACACTTTGCACGAATTTTTACAGGCACCCTTAAAATTGCCTATCAAAAAATAAATAAATGTTTTATAAATACAAAGGAGCATATTTCAAACAATTAATTCATTTTCAGTATATAAGTAGAGCCCCCCCCCCCCCTAACACCAGAAACCTTGACCCTGGGGCCATAAAATTCACAATTTTGGTAGAGGCACTCTTGCTCATCATAACTATGTACTTAGTTAGTTTATTTAATTCCTAGGAGCAGAGAAGAAGATTATCAAAGAATTCATGTATTTTCACTATATAATCAATAGAACACCCCAACCCCCCAACACCAGAACCCTCGACGATGGGGACATAAAATTCACAATTTTGGTAGAGGCACTCTTGCTCATCATAACTATGCACTTAGTTAGTTTATTTGATACCTAGGAGCAGAGAAGAAGATTTTCAAAGCATTCATGTATTTTCACTATATAATCAATAGAACACCCCAACCCCCCAAACCCCCAACACCAGAACACTTGACGATGGGGCCATAAAATTCACAATTTTGGCTGAGGCACTCTTGCTTATCATAGCTATGCCCTTAGTTAGTTTATTTAATACCTAGGAGCAGAGAAGAAGATTTTCAAAGAATTCATGTATTTTAATTCACTTTATAATCAAAAGACCCCCCCCAACACCAGAACCCTTGACGATTGGGCCATAAAATTCACAATTTTGGTAGAGGCACTCTTGCTCATCATAACTATGTACTTAGTTAGTTTATTTAATTCCTAGGAGCAGAGAAGAAGATTATCAAGGAATTCATGTATTTTCACTATATAATCAATAGAACACCCCCACCCCCCAACACCAGAACCCTCGACGATGGGGACATAAAATTCACAATTTTGGTAGAGGCACTCTTGCTCATCATAACTATGCACTTAGTTAGTTTATTTGATACCTAGGAGCAGAGAAGAAGATTTTCAGAGAATTCATGTATTTTCACTATGTAATCAATAGAACACCCCCCCCACACACACACACACACCAGAACCCTTGACCCTGGGGCCATAAAATTCACAATTTTTGTTGAGGCACTCATGTTCATCATAAATATGCCCTTAGTTAGTTTATTTAATACCTAGGAGCAGAGAAGAAGATTTTCAAAGAATTCATGTATTTTCGTGTACGAAATGTTCCGCCTGGAATATAGGGGGAATTGAGGCGTACTTGGAGAGGCGTCAATTTGTCTCTCTACATATATGGTGATACACAGGTTCCGGGCGTAACTTAGGCGGAAACCAAGCGTAAATGGGCAGGAATTTGAGGCGAAAAATGCAAATGAGCTACGCCCGGAAAAATAAATGACGCCCGTAAAAAAAATGACGCCTGGAAACTAAAATGACGCCTGGAATAGAATTACGCCTGGAATGTCCTTATTATTATATAATACTATGTGACCTAAAAACCTATATATTTACCATGTTAACAAAGAAAAACATTCAGATTATGATTTACAATGTTAGAGCTAAAAATTTAGCTTTTTGAACTGTAAGAAAACTTAATGACAGGTCATTAACATATATCATTAACAAGTATAGAAAAATAACATGAATTTTGTGTATTAGGGACACTAAAACAAGATTGAGTGTGTATTTAGAATTAAACTTTTTTACAATACCTGTACATTTTATCACTTCAATAATTATATTGAAACATTTTAGTTACTGACTGAATACAATTCTTCATTTACTCAGCAGTTTACAGTTAGATTCTCACTGCAGCCACTATCAGACAGATATTTCTCAGAATGTGTGAAAGGACAAACTCAAATATCTAAAGTACTTTTAGGGTCAACCAGTTATAACTATCATTGTACATAATCATAATCAAATTTACTCAAATAGGTACTAGATATTCATGATCACACCTACCAGCAGACACTGTGTCATCCTCAAGAAGTGTAAAAGCCTTAAGATTGAGATATCTGCATTTCCTGTTTCACTCACACTAAACTCCCTCCTTCATGATCAAATTCAAACTTAACCTCCTATCTGAAATGACCCTTAATTGATAAATAAATTGACCAATCAGAGGCTTTTACTTCTCCTGAAAGTTCCAGGCGTAATTTTTGTTTCTATTTTCCTGCCATTTTACGCCCGGAAAATCTGAACTTGCCAATTGACGCCCGGAAAATACAAATGACGCCTGTAAGACGTCTCTTCTACTGAGGCGTAACTCTTTGAAAATTCCGTCTCCGCCTCAAGTACGCCCGGAATTTGCCAATTCCTGCTCAATTCCACCCAAATTCCAGGCAGAATCCGCCTTTAAAATTCATACAGGTAATAAATAAAATAAATACTATATAATCAATAGAGCCCCCCCCCAACACCAGAACCCTTTACCCTGGGGCCATAAAATTCACAATTTTGGTAGAGGCACTCTTGCTCATCATAACTATGTTCTTAGTTGGTTTATTTAATACCCATGGGCAGAGAAGACGAATTTCAAAGAAATCATGTATTTTCACTATATATAATCAATAGAGCCCCACCCTAACACCAGAACCCCTGACCCTGGGGCCATAAAATTCACAATTTTGGTAGAGGCCCCCTTGCTCATTATAACTATGTACTTAGTTGGTTTATTTAATACCCAGGAGCAGAAAAGAAGATTTTCAAAGAAATAATGCATTTTCACTATATACTTATTTAGCCCCGCCCTAGCACTAGAACCCCTAACCCCAGGGCCATGAATTTTACAATTTTGGAAGAGGACTCAATGTTGATTACAATCATGCAAACAGTTTGACTGCTTGATGTCCAGGAGTAAAGAAGAAGATTTTTAAAGATTGCATTAATTTTAGTGGTTTTGGCCCCACCCCTCAGGCCCCAGGGGGTCAGGGATCACGAAATTCACAATTTTTGTTCCCCTTCACCCATAGATGCTTTGTGCCAAATTTGGTTGAAATTGGTTCAGTGGTTGCAGAGAAGAAGCTGAAAATGTTCAAATGTTAACGCACGACGAACGACGACGGACGAAAACAGATAGCATTAGGTCACCTGAGTTTACTCAGGTGACCTAAAAAAACAGTCATGAGTGACATAAACTTTTGCTTGCAGCAGTAGTTTTTGGTTCATTTCCATTACATTATTATCCCTTCACAACAGAGTTGGAATGGATAGAGTAATGCAATGGGTGTGCTCATTTGTGGGTGAGCCATTCAATTCTGTGCAAAACGGAAGCAACTTAATTAATATGCATTGCGAATTAATGTTGATTGCTGTTTATCTACTTAGTATATAGGTATGCCTTTGTGAGGGGATGCTCCGCTTTGAAGTGCCCGTGTTTTAATATTTAATTTATCAAATGTTCTTTGTTATGACAGATGTTCTGCATAGATATACAGCTCAACAAACTTTTTAAGCTCACATGGGTTTTCGCACAAATTAAGGTCACATTGTTGTAATAAAAAATTACCATTCTGGAACTGCGGTACAGTGGCATAACCCTTCGTTATATTACATATATAATGTCAGGCATAAATGTCTTTTAAAATTATTATCTTAAGATTCCAAAGTGGATTTTTTGAAGAAAAATTTATAAATAAATGGTAGAATGTTTTGACTATACGATTCTACCATAGGTTTTTAAAAATTGTATAAAACAAGCTTTCCTTGATCCAATGTAGTTGATTTTTTAATTTTCTTCTTAAACGTGAGTATTTTTTAAAAAAATCTTTGCTCATTTACCATTCTCCTCTTGGTTTCGTCGAAATGTGGCGCCGAAAAGGGATAAAATTGCAAAAGGAAACCACACTAAAGGGTAGGATAATGAAGTATTGTTTATTTTTTTATTAGTAAATTCCTTTTATGAAAAGGAAAATTCGTTTGCATTTACGGTTTGAAACGTTAAAATTTTGCAGTTGGATGAATCTTTCATGATTGTAGATTTTAGAAGCTGAATCTTAAAAATCCCACCTTATTAACATAGAAAACAGTCAAACAGATGAAAAATACTATAATCACCCCGAGTTAAAGAGTCAAAATGTACAGAAAATACAAGTTACAGTAGCTGTACTGTACCCATGTCTACGTTTCTGCCAAGAGCCATTGCTTTCAAAGAACGGATAAAATGACAGTTACAATTGGCAAGAAACTACAAAAATTCAAATGAGAATAGTTGTTATTTTTCAGCCATGAATATATCAAAGTGTCAATCATGTTTCAGTAAATGAAATAAAACTCAAATTATGTAAACAAATACTTTTAAAATGTATTCTGTTGTCTCGATACACAATATTATATCATATCAATGTGACCTTAATTTGTGCGAAAAACCATGTGAGCTTAAAAAGTTTGTTGAGCTGTACATGTATTATAATGCTCCTCATCTTCATACATATTATTTTCTCTGATCTATTCTCAATTATCCTACAATATTCATTCAAGAGTTAAAATAAACCATTGGTTTATTGGAATTTTGTGGTCAACACATATGTACGCATACCAGTAATAATCTTTTAAATTATGTAATAACCATGCCTTGAATTCCGAAATATAGCACAAATTAACACCAAAAGTGAATTCCCACACAATAATTAATTGTATGTTAAAAACACGGCTTACTTTTCATTCATATTAATTTGAAGGATGTAGCTTCTCTATAATCCTCATCATTTAAATTGAAAACATGATAATGAGATTGTAGTATTACATAACAAGGAAAATCCTCCTTCAAATGTAATTAAGCATGGCCCTGCCTTCCATATAAATGATTATTTTCAATATCGTGTACATTTTCATACCAAAAATATCCGTGTGTTCAAATAATATACATGTACATGTATCGACTACATGTATTAGCCAGTAAATGTTACTGCTTATATTGGTTCAATGATTCAAAATTAGAATCCAATCCTGTAATAAATTAATAAAGAGTAAAAATGAGGAAATACGATAATTTTTATTAATATCTGGCTAAATATTGTCGAGTTGATCGTTTCTTTTTTGTGATTGTTGCTCTCTTCATTATTCTCTGAAGCTGCTCCCTGAAAAATAGGAATTCAAAGAAAAAGTATTAATTAAAATGTAAAATCTTGATAAAAGCAAGAAGTCGCAAAACTATCCAAATCTTAATTGCAGGAATTGCTTCTACGAGCCTTCTAACTAGTACCTCATACATATACTGTAGATCACTAAAAACACCTTATTTTCGTGAGATAGTCAGACATTGACTTTTTATTAGCCAGACGAAATTTTCACAAATTGTGGTAACTGTTCTCTATTATCTCAAGGAATACTATTATATGTGGGAATGAAATCTTCCCTAGCAGACTAAAAAAATTAAAAAAAGTGAATTACAGCATTGTTGGCTTCCAGCCAGCTGAAGGCTCATAATAAAGGGGACTCTACATGAATGTACTTGCATCTGCTGTACTTTCTAAACTAAATTAGTACAGTAAAACTCGTTTGGTAAGAACACGGATACTGTAGATTGACAAATATTTACCATGGTTTTAATGTCACTATGTTCGCAATTTATCATTTTTCCGCAAAATTAAACCCATGGTGAATGCTATCATTACTTGTCAAAGATGTTCAACTGCTTTTAAGAAACTTAAATTAATTTCTTGCAGCGTGAAATTTAAAACAATTGCGACTGGTACTTTTTGACAAATCATGAAATTTTAACTCCGTGAAACTAAAACGACTTACAGTATATATATAGCGAATTCACTTATATAGTGAAGTTATCTTGGATCCCTGACTACATAAATATAACAGATTCCTTATATGGATATAACGAATTATGGATATAGCGAAGTAATTTCATAGGCCCCAGTGACTTCGTTATAACAGAGTTTAACTGTACGCTGTCATCAATGGAGTTTCAGTAAGGCATGGCATTCTCAATGCTATGTAATTAGCATCTCTCTCAAATGGTGACATAGATTCTCACTGGTTAAGAAATTAATAACATCAGCAACTTTAAATTGTTGCTGACTACAATGAGACGACTCAAGCCCCACCTCTTTGTCGTACGAAATGCTGTCATTGGATTTTTGCTACACTCGTTGACATTTGCTTGAATTTCTATCCAACATATATTTTAACAGAACAGTGAATGAAAGGCTATGTAAGTTTCAGATGCTAAAGTTTTTTCATCAAAAAGAGACCAGACAAAACCTACTGTATGTGTACTTAAAAAAAAAGCAGGCTTCGTATTTTAGCGGCTTTGGCATAGACATCAATGTGCTAATTCATGAATACTGCTAAGATATTATTTATAACTACAATACACTGCATGTGTAGCACTAATTCATGATTACACCAACAACTCCGTACCCAGTGATTGCACTTAAATTTCAATATGCCAATATAAGTAGAGGTACTGTACAGTATTTTTTTCATACTTGAAGCAAATCTCGTATTGTCATTCAACAGTATTTATAATTATGACAAAATATATCTTCAATTATCTTTTATAAGCTGTCTACGATTTTCAGTTTTTATCTTACCTTTCCAGTTCATTCATAGGAATATTACTGAGGATTTTCTCTCCTAGACTCTCCACTACATCATGGGGGACTTCCTTCACCAGAAACTTCATGATTTCCTACAAAAAAAATCATTTGCTTCTGTTGACAAAGAGGAAAAAAAACCTTTATTCTGCCAACTTTAGAAATATATTTCATTATTTGGCAATCTGATTTAAATCAGCTCACATAGATCACTACACCCTTTGATCCGCTCACATAGATCGCTACACCTTGTGTAGTGATCTATGTGAACGGATCAAAGGATCTGATTTTAATTAAATTGTATGTTTGGTTGTCCTCTCCTGACTCGGTCTGAAAATACTAGGTCAGTAGATATAGGTGAGAAAATTATTTTTTCTCATAAAATTTCAATTTTTCAATTTTTTAAAACATATGATTAATGAAGCCTCACTCGGGGGTGTGAAACTATCATACATCAGGTATTTTCTGCGATTATAAATTTTTGCGATTTGACCTCTGAAAGGTAACAAATAAAGTTCTGAGAACTAGTACTGAGCTTTCCTGATAAGTCTTCGTAGACTATATTTTCAGATCTTTTTTATTTCATACATCTATAAGCTTAATAATTCTTTTTTTTTTAATAAATACATGTAAAGAGTAATAAAATAGAATTAAACTAGGTTCACTAACATATGCGCCAATTATCATACTTGCATCTATAAAATATCTGAAGAAATATTGAAGAAATATTTTGTGATTGTAATTTTTGCGGTCTAAAATAACATGGGGCAAAAATATCCCTTTATGCAGTGTATATTGAGGTAATTACTGTTATTTCCTTTAAACAGTTTGCTTAGGTTATTTAAATGATTCATTAATGTGTATTTTCATTCAACTGTCTAATAGGCATTGTAAAATTTACCATTAGGCCAAAGTTTTTATTTTTTTTGGTTTACGATTTTTTGACACAAAAATATGCATTGGGTGGTCGAAAAATAAAAATAAAAATAATTTGGAACCTTGACATATTTTTTTCTCGAGTAGCATTGAAATGTATTCCAATAAAAATAACAAACACACAAGATTTTTCAACTTTTAAAATTATTTTTTTTATCATTCGGTTTTAAGTCAAGAAAAATGAATCACACGTCAAATGACTCAAGAACAGAAATGGGAGTATCAGGCTCTGTTACTGTTGATGGTTTTCATTCTTCCGACTTACAAGTCTGAGTTTCCATAATAGACATATATTGCACTGGGACAAATACGGGTAAAATTAAGCAAATTGGCTATTCCCTGGTCAGCCTTTCCACTTACGAAAACTTTTTGGAAACTCCGAAAGTGATTGCTTTCATAACAAACCTTTACCTTAAGATATGTGTGTCCAGGGACCAACCTAGACCCACCCGATTAAGGAGACTTCACTTCTCCCTCAAAGAAATTTAAGGAGAAGTTTTGAAATTTAAGGAGACATCTTGGTGCGTATACATGGCACACTTTAATCGTTATAAAACTATTTCATTGTTTAAAACTTACTTTACATTTCAAAAATTTTTCCATATAAACACTGTATTTATTTAAAATGATTAAAAAAGATTAAAAGAATCTTAAAAGATATTCTCCCCAATAACAAGGTATATAAATATCTAGAAAAAATAATAAAACAGCATTGACATTAAATAAAATTTACTACTACTATTAAACTGTAAAAGTTTCTTATTGCATGTCAGATTAATTGTTGATCAAACATTTTTTTTCATTTCTTATATAGTAGTACAATCTTAAACTTCTAAAATTTCTCTTCTCATTAGATTTCCAGGCTTTTGGCAATCCAGGCATAGTCATAATTTTGTTAATTTCTCTTCAAACTTGTTTTCAATATAAAATTCTGTTTCTAATAAAAGTTTTGATGCACACCTGCATGCCGATTGAACAGCTACTTATGTTTATCGAATCTGTCTTCTGATGTGTAACTTCTTAGAAAGCTAATAACTTCACAATTTATCAGTAAAAATATGTCTGTATTCACAGCATGAATTAATTATTTGACAATAATAAAGATCTAAAATCTTCTCCAACATCTTTGGCATGACATCATGGACATCGATAGCTGTCCAGCTGTTTTGCGTCTTGTTGTGTATAACTTGTAACGATGGACTTTTTCATACCCGGAAGTGTAAAATCTAGAGGAGTTCCGACGGAGTATTCGATGCATTGGACTGGTAATTGCCAAATTGGCAAAGTGGTTTGACAATCTGTATTTGTAGAGTTCATTGAATGTTTGTGAGAGTTTGGGTTAATGATTAACATATGTGTTGTAAATTTTGGTTTGGTCAAGAAAATTTCAAGCCAGACACATTATTTTTATTTTCGTAAATAGGGAAAAATAGGGTCGGCGGAATCGTAAACCAAGAGAAAAAAAAACTTTGGCCTTAGCATCAAAACTGACCATAAGTCTATATAAAGTAAAAAGTTGCTGTGATCAGGTTAAGCTGTACTTACTGCACATTTTCCTAAGTCATCTGCAGAAATGTAGTAATCTAAAAGTCCCTCAAAAGGTTGGATCCTATCAAAATAATACAATAAAAGCCTTATAACAAAATACTGTAGCTTATAAAATATCAATACTGTAAACCAACTTTAATTCGTGTGCAAGAAATTTTCGTGAGCTTCGCGAGAGCCTTGACATCGCGAATATTTTTCGTCGCTAACTGTTCCTGAAGTATCTGTGTCTAATAACAAAAGACCGAAAGAAGGCTTGGTTGCAAAAATTAATCATCGCCAACTAGTTTACCCCCAGTAAATCACGAAGTTGTCGCAAATAAAAGTTGGTTTACGGTATATGTCACATAAAGGATTTTCAATTTTTCCCTATATAAATCCTAGTATCAAACAAACAAAGTTTGCAATCTTAAAAATTAAACAATGCTTGATAAAATGTACAAGATGTACTAATAAAAAGTGTCTTTTCATTGAAATAAAAAAAAATATTTTGAGGTCAAACAGTTTATTCAATACTGAGAATGAGAATTTTTTTCTCTCAAGTTTTAATTTGGTCCATTGCCTTAGTCAGTGGTTGAATTGAAATAGAATTTAACAGACATTATATTCCTTGAAAAAAGAGAGAGAGGAGTGTGTCTGCTTAAATTGAAAATGGAACAATTAAGTTTTCAAATGTAATAGGGTGAAAATTACATGGAGTAAAAATAATCCTATTATATATATTTTCCTTCCAATATTTTTGTTGTGCCTCCAATTTCTAGGGATGGGTATCGCCAAAAATTTTGTATCACAATATATTTCTATGTTTATAAAATCAATTATGCTTGGACGGTAAGATGCCATTCTTTTCACTTTTTACAACATTGTTTACACTTTCTGTAATTTTAATTTGAAAAATTGAACAAATAATTAATAATTTCTGGACTTTATAATATGTACCTAAAGACAGGTATTTAGGTGTCCGTATCACGCAACAAAAAATCGTGATATACCAGTATACCAATAAAATCGCACATCCCTACTAGTTTCATTGTAATCCTGGCACTGTGTATACTGAGTACTTACATGGATATCTCTGCTCCATACATATTCTTTCTATTGGTTATAATAAATGTGAACACTTTCCTGAAAACAGAAAAAAAAATCAAGTTACCATCCCCTTAATATAATATAACTTCATTTTCCATTAAAAGACAAGATGTTGGTAGGTCAAAATTGCAACAATGACAGCAAACAAGAAAAATTTTTATCAGAAAAGCTCAGCTGAGTTCAAAATTGTAGCACATTACCATAAACCATACCTTCTACCTATCCCATTTTTAAAAAATTTCAATTCCTCCTATTCCCACTTGCAAATAACAATAGATGTATAGATAAATAACAGTTCATATCAATCTTTTACTAGCTGATTCTTGCATCTGAAAAGTCTTAACTTTGAATAGTCTCAACTTCAGCAAAATGTGGTAAAACTTTATTTCTTTTGGCAGTGAATAAACAAAAAAATTATCACAAATCTAATTTTTATTCACCACAAACTTATGGTATATGAAGTGAAAAATCCTGTCCAATTTAAGGATAAACAACGTAGTTCTTACCAAGCTAATTCAATGTTTTCACCATTCATGGCTATCATTAGCATGTTCTCCAATAATTCCATTTTTGGTCTGAAAAGATAAACACAGTTTATAAACCAAATAACTCGCAAAGAATTCAAGCTCAAATGAAATCTAAGAAAATGAGGGAAATGCCATCTTCAAACAAATTTACTGAAGAAGACCATTTCGTATTAATTTTACAAAATTTTTTCTAAGGTACTCATCTCTAGGAAAAGAAAATTTGGCTTAAGATCATTACACAAAGGCACTCTTTTTTAAAGAAATTTGAGCCAGGCGAATAAAGGGGAGAAAACTATACTCCAAACACCTTGATCTTGTATCTAAAAATTAATTCTGGTCAGTTCTTGTCCTTTACCCATGATCAGTTTATGATTCCTTGAATTTTCAATGGGAAGGCCCAAGGGGAAATAGGGCAAACAAGGATTTCTCTGAGAATAATTGACCTAAACCTTGATTTGTTTGTTTGTTGTTTAACATCCTGCTACAAACTTAAATCTTTCACTTATATGGGGATGACCTTGACAAATGACCTAGAATCTGGCCTTATCAAGCGTAGCTTAGTTTTGTTTAAGATTAGGGGGAGTCCTTATTCATGTCTCCATGCCTACGCCCCATCTTAAACTAGACTTTTGCCCCTTTAGTACTGTAAATCACTTTTTATTTGCGAGAACTTTATTTTCACATAATTATGCGAGAAGGTATGCTCGCGTAAATTTCATTCTCGTGTATGATAGTATCTCGTAAGATTATATAGAGCAATGACCACAATTCCTGAAAATTTTGTCTCGCTAATGAAGAGTCAATGACTATCTCATGAAAATAAGGTGTCGCGAAAAATAAGTGATCTACAGTACTTCACCCCTCTGTCTTCTCTAGTCTTGACTTGCTGTATGTTTCCTCACCTCACATTCTGTCTTTCCTCTAGTTCTGACAGCTTCACCTTCACAAACTCTGACAATTTTACCTGCACCTGAAAATTGAAAAAAAATTCAACAAGTTAATATACATATGTGTAATTCTATAGACATCAATAAAAATTTGATTTCTGCAATAATGATAAACAAGCAAATTCAAAGAATTGTCTTTGTGGGTGAAGATGTCATTTTTTATAGCATTTGTTTCATATACGAGCGCCTTTCATTCGTCATTCAGAAGTTATCACCAAAGTTGATTGTTCTGAAAATTAGGTCAATCGTGAAGGTGATAACTTCTGAATAGCAATCGAAAGAGCATTCATATTTGACACAAATATGCCATAAAAAATGACATCTCACCCACAAAGACACCAAAAGCAGAGGACCACAATTCTTTTCTGAATTTGCTTGTTTGTGATTTAGACACAGATTTTGTATATAAATAAGTATACATGTATGTCCGCAATTCCAAGTTCATGTACATGTAGAATAGTTCTTAGCTATTCAGGCTACATGGATTTTAGAAATACATGTATCTAGAAATTCTGTAAATAGAAATAAAATGCCTTTAAATCTTGCTAGATGATGGGAGTACATGTCATAAAAGGCATGAACTGAGTTTGTAACAACCATTGAAGACAATAATAAAATCCTTTCAAACATGCTGGATTTTCAATGCTTAAAATAATCGACCTTCAAAAATCCAATCAGAGATGCTTTAAGTACAAAAATTTTAAGATTTCCTACATACACTGACACAGTCCTAACTAAACAGACTTTGCTGTCATTACGTTACAATGGTTAAAACATGATTCTCATACTATGACGTCACGTTTTACATAACTTCAGTGCAACCGAACGATGTGTCATGCGTTATCATTTCTGCCGACGAGCTTTTGCGTCGATATTACAAAAGGAGGAATAACATGTGACGTCCTTTCAACCTATGAAATTTACGAAAATAATCCTCTCATATAAAATTTCATGAAAATTGTTAATTTACCAGTGTTGGTTGCTTCTCTTTGGCCAGGAAAGCTGTTATTTCTGCCAAATTGAAACTGGCAGAATGGAAAGCTAAAAAATAAAAAAAATATTACAAATAACAAGAATAATTCTTCTTAGAAAATTTCAAGAGTTCAATAAATCTCTTTAGCTTAAACCTCATCTGAGTAGTTTATATTAACAATGAGGCTTTGGCGTTATCACTGTTTCCCTTATCTGATTAAATACAGTAAAAACTGTCTAATCTGACAGGTGTGCAATCTGGCAAATTGTGAATTACAATGTAAATTTTTTTTCCCCCATTTTACTATTTTGCATATTTTTTTACACTGTGCAATCTGACACACTGTCTATTCTGACACAAAATTTGTCTCCCAGTTCTAGTTGGATAGGTTTCACTGTACAAATTAAAATTTATTGACTTCAGCAGTTAACCAAAAAATCAGCATACATCAAAACCTTTAAAACTCAATGGAAAAAAATGAGTCTGTTTAATAAATCCTTTCTGATTACAGCATATAAAACATTAGGGATGGAGTTTCTTAATTTACTTGAGCTTTCAGCTCTGATGAGCTAATGAATTTGTTTGTTTAAGGGCATCAATACAATTTTCAGTTAACTTGGACTTTCAGTAAGGCGTGGCATTCTTGACGTTAAATAATAAGTGTCTGAAATTTATACAGCTTTCATTCATTGTTGAAATATGCATGGGATAGAAATTCAACGAGTGTAGCAATTATCCAATACAGCTTCTCGTACAGCAAAGATGTGGGGCTAAAGTCATCCTATTGTTGTCAACAACAATTTAAGTTCCTGATGTTATTTCTTTCTTAACCAATGAGAATCTATTTGCCATTTAACAGACGCTTATTACGTAGCGCCGAGAATGCCATACTGAAAGTCAAAGGTACACTGAGAATTGTACTAAATGAAGGCCATTCACTCAAAGGGCAGTAACTTGAATATATTTCACCATACACTTGACAATTCCAGACAGAAGGAGAGATGTACTTACAATTTAGAAGTTGTGGAATAAACTTGTAGGACTTTGTCACCGTCAGGTCTTTGATGAACTTGCGGAATACATTCACAAACCTTATCTCATCCTGTAAAAATTTCATTTACTTTTAATCAAGAACATGATCTGACATATAGACAAAACACCCCCTAACAACTGAAAATCTCATTTACGTACCACAGGCTGTAGTGCTGTGTACAGATCTACAACTTTGTCCAGACTGGGCTCCTTGTACACAGCTATTACAAACATAATCACCCTGAAATACACAGGCAATTTCACTGATAAAAGTAAATGAAAATTTGTAATTGTAAAGTTGATATTTTTAATTTCCAAGGCCAAAGGAATTTGTGATACTGATATTAATTTCACAGTTTTTGAATTTTTTTTTCTTTTTTTCTTACCTATATGAATAGTGATCATGATCATCAAGAAGTTTATAATTCTGTCCCGTTTTGTAAAAAGCATCAATTCTGTACGCAAAGTCAAGGTCTTGGTGAAAGAGTGCCTATTGAAAAAAAAAATTACGTGTCATAAGTGGCCATTCCTAGAAACTATAATTGGAAAACAGTAATGTTTCTTATGATCAGGGGCTTACAAAACCTCCACTTTTAAACAAAAATTCACTACATTTTTTTCCACAGTAATGCACTGAACTAAAATTTTACAAGAATTTCTCATATTTTACGCAAGATAGTTGAGAGCTTCAATTATAAGAGAAATAAATTGAAATGCAATTCTTACCTAAGAAAACATAGGTAATCAGAGATTACAGAGCTCACCTCAACGAATGTTGTCTTTAAGTAAGGCAAAGTCACACAATTAACCAACAAGAAGTGTACATTCCAAAAATGAAAATATTTAAGCAATTTTAATCTGATTTTGAAATAGAGCTACATAAAAAATTTTAACTAGTTCTTCTTCATGAAAATGTAATTAAAATCCAGCATCTGAAGCAAATTTGAGAGTTTTCATCTCTTGATGCAACATTTGTGCAAGTTTGGTTTATACAATGTTATATAAGCCTTATAGTTTTTTGGTAATAGACCTGCACCCATAACTTTTACCTGGTCTATTATCTGAAAATGTATGTCGAATTCAGCATCCGAAGCAAGTCCATTAGTGCGCATCCTTAGATGTATCATCCATGCAAGTTTGCTCATTATAGGGCTCATAGTTAATTGGAAATGAAACATGCATCAAAAACTAACATTTTCACTCATCAACAAAAAGTAGGTCAGATTCAGCATCCGAAGCAAGCCCAGTAGTATGCATCCTTATATGTATCATCCACGCAAGTTTGGTCATTAAAGAACTCATAGTTACTTGGAAATGAACTTTAACCTATTCACTCAACTGGAAAATGTAGGTCAGATACAGCATCCGAAGCAAGCCTGGTAGTATACATCCTTATATGTATAATCCATGCTAGTTTGGCCAACAAAGGGCTTATAGTTACTTGGAAATGAAACCTGCACCAAAAACTTTAACCTGTTCACTCAACCAGAAAATGTAGGTCAGATTCAGCATCCGAAGCAAGCCCTGTAGTGTGCATCCTTATATGTATCATCCATGCAAGTCTGGTCAACATAGGGCTTATAGTTACTTGGAAATGAAACCTGTACCAAAAACTTTAACTTGTTCACTCAACTGGAAAATGTAGGTCAGATTCAGCATCCGAAGCAAGCCCGGTAGTATGCATCCTTAGATATATCATCCATGCAAGTTTGGTCAACATAGGGCTTATAGTTACTTGGAAATGAAACCTGCACCTAAAAACTTAACCTGTTCACTCAACCAGAAAATGTAGGTCAGATTCAGCATCCGAAGCAAGCCTGGTAGTATGCATCCATAGATGTATCATCCATGCAAGTTTGGTCCATATAGAGCTTATAGTTACTTGGAAATGAAACCTGCACCAAAGACTTTAACCTGTTCACTCAACCGGAAAATGTAGGTCAGATTCAGCATCCGAAGCAAGCCTGGTAGTATGCATCCTTAGATGTATCATCCATGAAAGTTTGGTCAACATAGGGCTTATAGTTACTTGGAAATGAAACCTACACCAAAAACTGCACCAAAAATGTTAACCTGCTCCAAAAACATTAACCTGGTCATTCCTTTGCTGAAATTGCAGCATCTGAAACTTTGACTGGTACAATGAAACACACTAGAACCATTTTCCATGCATGTCTTATCAATATAGGACATAGAAGTACTTAAAAAGAAAACTGCTCCAAAAAACTTAACTTTAACCTGTTCACTCAACCAGAAAATGTAGGTCAGATTCAGCATCCGAAGCAAGCCTGGTAGTATGCATCCATAGATGTATCATCCATGCAAGTTTGGTCCATATAGGGCTTATAGTTACTTGGAAATGAAACCTGCACCAAAGACTTTAACCTGTTCACTCAACCGGAAAATGTAGGTCAGATTCAGCATCCGAAGCAAGCCTGGTAGTATGCATCCTTAGATGTATCATCCATGAAAGTTTGGTCAACATAGGGCTTATAGTTACTTGGAAATGAAACCTACACCAAAAACTGCACCAAAAATGTTAACCTGCTCCAAAAACATTAACCTGGTCATTCCTTTGCTGAAATTGCAGCATCTGAAACTTTGACTGGTACAATGAAACACACTAGAACCATTTTCCATGCATGTCTTATCAATATAGGACATAGAAGTACTTAAAAAGAAAACTGCTCCAAAAAACTTAACCTTAACCTGGGACGCCGACGCCGACGCCGACACCGACGCCGACGCCGAGGGTATTACATAAGCTCCCCCAACTTCGTTGAGGTGAGCTAAAAATGTGCAAGATTCAATTTTAAACATTTATTGGGATATTGTGTTGGTCATAGAATCAATTCCCCTTAAGCTTAAAGGGACTTGTTTGAAAATGATATAATTGTGATATCTCAACTCAGACATGAAAACTGGTGATATCTCCCTTCTACACAGTCCATAATGGTGTATTATAAAAGGAAAAACATTATAAATGTAAATACATGTACAGGCCCTTTAGGCTTCACAATCTTTGATTAATTGACCACCAAGTTTATTGTCTCATACAATTTCTAAACTTGCTTATAAACTATTTATGTCTTAAACATTTCCTACTTACAGTCTTTAAGGCTCTCATGATGAATTTCCCTGTAAAATATTAACAAATGAAAATTCATTCCAATTTCATTAATTTGCACTACACGTACCAGTATATACAAATAATGTAATTCAATAAAAGCTTTAACATCAGAACTGCCTAGCATAAATTGAAAGAATATTAGCATATTATCAACTTTGCCCTGCACTACAAGTTCAAAGAGTTTTTTTTCCATACTACCAAATCTCTATCCTCTAAACTCTTTGAATGAATTTGATTTCATTTTTTAAAAAAAATTATCAATCACTATTATAATATTCATGAGTCAAGCAAGAGATGATGAATTGACTGACAAACAGACAAGATTTATTTCCCTTTTCACAATTAACTGCATAACTTACTGCCTTCTGAGCCTACGTCCTTAAATCTCTTTCCCTCAACCTCATCCAGCATGTGGTTCATGACCTGCATGACCCCTGAATCTGCATATGAATATTCATTAGACATAATGTCAATTAATATCAGAAATTAGATGAGATTTTTAGGTACCAACAAGTTATAAATTGTGTATATATTATACCTATACATATATGTACTTTTAAAAATTCTTGAAGGGAATTTTCAGTAAAAGTGTTAATTATAAATAGGAAAATATTACAGCCATACATTTTTTTTAAAATGAAGCCCCTCCTCTCTTAAAATTTAATTAATAGAAGCACTAACTTGTTCCTTTTCCAAACACTGACATGTCTAACAGACTAGTGAGTATACTCCAAGTGTCCAACGTGGGCTCTGAAAATAATTAAAAAGGAATTTATCAAATCAAAAATTGTACCAATATATTCAGTCCCTTTTTTTCTTTTCATTTAACCATAAAATTTTGTAATATTTATTAGGAGTATATGCCTCTCCAAAAAAATTGCATTTGTAAATATATAAATATTGCATGTAGTTGAGTGTAACATTGAAAATTTTCACCCTAAGAATGTTACACTCAACTACATGCAATATTTATCATATTATACTGAATGTTTTATACAAATGCATATTACAGTGAAACGCACATAAATTCCGTGCAGTTACTATATTTTGGAATACCACCCATAGTCAAGCAATGTTGACTGTTGCTAATCAGTAGGGCATGGCTTCATTATTCAGCTGGTAGTAGTGTTTCTAATCAAATGTTTCTCGACGAATCAGATTCAAGCAATTCACATGAAAGTATATTACATTTTGGTTTCATTTTCATTTAATGACATCTGAGAAAAATTCACATACAAAAAACAAGTAAGTTTACCGTTTGTCCAGATTAATGAAAAATTAACCGGGTTGATGAAACGGATATCTTATAAGTGGTATATATAAATGTTAACTATAACTGTCCAATAGGGACAAATACCCCCGCTGGGTTTTTCAGAGTAGGTGCCAATTCAGAAATATTTTATGGATCCAGTAAGAGGTATTCACCATTGTCTAATAAAGTGCCTTGCCACAGCATGATACGCCCATCAAATATTGTTCGATAATCATAAATTGGTTAGGGTGCAAGAAAATTAAGTAACCTTGATTAAAAGATTGACACAGATTTCAATGATCTAATTTCCATTTCTTATCATGTTTAAAATATTGTACATACATCTCTAAGAGACTTACAGTGTAGGGATTAATTAAAACAAATAATACACATCATATAATTCTAAACTGGCTATGTTAGAGCTTAACAAATACCCATCTGCAGCTTTAAAATGTTTATTGCATATTTTATGAAATAATGGAAATGCTACAGTCTAATAAAAAATCAAAAATTAATTATTCTTTAGACTATAAAATTCTAAGTGAGACATGACTGCAATTTGTTGCAAATATATAAAAAATGAAATGTAATTTTTTTTCAATGAACACATATATAATTAATTTTAATTATATTATACAATAATAATTCAGTTTTAATCATACACTAAAACATCAATTTGTTTTAATTACATTACACCAATTGAAAGATCTTTATCTGAACTACAGCCATCAAGAACTCTTAATTAACACAAGCAACTATATATAAGGCCATTTCTTTTTGCCCAACTCTCAAGAGATAAATTAAGATTAGATCTAGAGATGCTCTTGCCAGTTAATTCCCGACAATGAACTCATTACTTTCTCTCTAATTTGACATGCACATTTCTGCTATCAAAAATTCTCCTTGACCAGTGCTTGATAATTATGCCCATGGGACAAACTGAATTCCTCTCAAATCATTAACATTTGTTATAGAATTTGCTGTAAAGTATATGATAAAAAATAAGTTTTTACTTAATTTAGCATTTTTTGATAAGGATACAACTATATTTTTACATTTTTTAGGCTTATGAAATTTAAAATTTTTAAGACTTAGTTTTTTAAAAATATTAACTTAAATGAAAGGTCACAGTGACCTTGAAATAGATCGTGACACACCGTCTACCCAAGATGCATAAATTGTCCAAGTTTGATGATTGTAAGTCTAATAGTTTTCTAGTTATGAGCCAAACAAAATCACAAAATAAAAAAGAAAAAACACCTGTAAAACGCAGAAAAATCATCCAATCAAGATGAAAATCCCAGGTGCACACCTTCATATGGTGAATAATAAGTGTATAAATTTTCAGACAAATCCATCCAACAGTTTCCGAGAAACGGTCCGGACAAAATCTTGTCTACAGACAGACGGACATGGTGATTCCAATATACCCCCCTAAACTTCGTTTGCGGGGGTATAATTATGTTCCCAACAGATATTGTCCAAAAATGTGAAACATGCAGGATACTAACATTCACATTAACAAGGCTTGACTGTACATACCATAAAGTCCATTTGAACCACAAACAACTCACCTATTCTTAGATCCTTCATATCAGCAATAAGTTTGAAGGCAAAATTCAGGCATTCTGAATTATTCATGTCAAAGCGTTGATATTTTAGTCCCTGCAGAGCCATGTTATAAGTTTCTATTGTAGGGTGGTAACCAGCCTTTTTCATGTCAGTCAATATTTGCTGGAGAAAAAAAATATCATCAGAAAAATAATAAATTTCTCCTTTATAAATTGATAATTCATATACATTATGTACTAGTATTTCAGTATAAATTCATTTATTTCAATTGATTTGAAATCAATTCTCTGACAAGTTCAATGAACTACAGTGTTAAATTTTTTTAATTCAACAAGTCATTATACAACAAGAGGCCCAAGGGCCTTGAATCGCTCTTCTGATAAATTGTACAATCTATCACTTCTATTAGAAGCCTCCAACTCTATTAGTATCATAAGACCCAAAATGCATCAACTTACAAAGTTTGATAATATTTAGCCAGTTAAGACTGAAAATATTATAATATAATTATCAAATACCATAAGTAGGTCAAAGTGACCTACCTTTTGATTGGAATTTTCTGAGGACTCAAGATACATTAATTGACAAAGACTGATGATTCTTAAATAAGTACCTGAGATATTCAAAAGTAGGTCACCATGACCTACTTTTTGGTCAACATTCTCTGAAAACCCAAGATGCATCATCTGACAAAGTTTGACAATTCTAAGCCAATTAGTTCCAGAGATAATTAAATATAGCCATCAAATGTCAAAAGTAGGTCAAGGTGACCTACTTTTTGGACGACGTTATCCAAACATCCAAGATGCCTAAACTGAGAAAATTTGCTGATTCTAAGCCAATAAGTACCTGACATATTCAAAAGTAGGTCACCGTGACCTACTTCTTGTTGGACATTCAATAAAACCGTAAGATGCCTCAACTGACAAAGTTGATGATTCCGAGCCAATAAGTACCAGATATAATCAAATATAGCCAAAAAAATGTCAAAAGTAGGTCACAGTGACCTACTTTTTGGTCAACTTTCTCCGAAAACCCAAGGTGCTTAAACTGACAAAGTTATTTGATGATTCTAAGCTAATACGTACCTGACATATTCAAAAGTAGGTCACTGTGACCTACTTTTTGGTCGACCCAAGATGCATCATCTGACAAAGTTTGATGATTTTAGGTCAATAAGTACCAGAGATACTTAATTATAGCAACAAAATATCAAAAGTAGGTCACTATGACCTACTTTTTGGTCGTCACTCTCAGAAAACCCAAGATGCATCAACTCACAAAGTTTGATGATTCTAAGCCAATAAGTACCTGAGATACTTAATTATAGCCACAAAATGTCAAAAGTAGGTCACTATGACCTACTTTTTGGTCGTCACTCTCTGAAAACTCAAGACACATCAAATCACAAAGTTTGATGATTCTAAGCCAATAAATACATAAGATACTTAAATAAAGCCATAAAATGTTGAAACTAGGTCACCGTGACCTACTTTTTGGTCGTCACTCTCCAAAAACTAAATATGCATCCACTCACAAAGTTTGATGATTCTAAGCCAATAAATGCCTAAGATACTGAAATATAGCCATAAAATGTCGAAAGTAGGTCATCGTGACCTACATTTTGGTTGACATTTTTCAAAGACCCAAGATGCATCTATTGACCAAGTTTGATGATCGTAGGTCTGAAGGTAATCAAAATATGCATTTTAAACAATTTGAAAACAAATGTCGGCAAAATTTAAAAAGTAGGTCACAGTGACCTACTTTGTTATAAATATGTTTTAAGGTCCCTAGATGCATCAAAGTACAAGATTTGATGATTCTAAACCTCCCAGTGTCTGAAATAATGGGATTTAATGTTTTTAAAAGGAGAAGTCATAAAGTTCAAAAAGTAGGTCACAGTGACCTACTTTTAAGTTGACATTGTTCAAGGACCCAAGATGCATCAATTGACAAAGTTTGATGATCATAGGCCTTAAAGTGTCCAAAATATGCCTTCAAATCAATTTGAACACAAATGCCCGCAAAATTTGAAAAGTAGGTGACCGTGACCTTCTTTTGAGTTAACATGATGTGAAGTTTTAAGATGCATCAACATATAAGATTTGATGATCCTAGTTCTTATAGTAAGCAAAATATTCACGTTTTTATTAATTGTAAATTTAGGTCAACTTTGAAGTGACCTTGAGACCACGCCCTTTGCCCCAGGGTCATGCCTTGAACAATTTTCAATCTTCAACATATCCTGATCCTTGTATGTAAGTTTGGTGAAAATCTGCCTGGTGGTTCTGGAGAAGATTTTTTAGCAACCAGTACTTTTGGTTTTGTTTTCCTGATTATCTCCCCTTGTTTTAGGGTCCCAACCCTTATTTTAGTATAAATGGTAACCCTTGGGCCAAGGATACCCTGTGACAAATTTGGTACTGATTGGCCAAGGGGTTCTTGAGTTATGGCCCATATTCTAAAAAGTTAACGCACACCGCACAAATTGCCATAGCATTAGCTCTTTGAGCCTATGGCTCAGAAGAGCTAAAAATCTCTGTATTAAGTAAATTAAACAGATATGATTTAGAACATGATTCAACAGATTAAACATGAACAGATAACTTCTGTAATATTGAACAAAAGATGCAATTGTCATCTCAAATATAATGCCATTGAATAAATCAGAATGACTTGGAAGTCCCAATCTCTTTCTCCTTTTATTGTCTAATCCAATAAAATTAATGTACAATACCCGGTACTGACTTAATATTAGTTGAGAAATCAGGTGAAAAACAACTCACCTGGACAGCTTTGTATGGTTCTTGAAGAGACCCAAAAATCACTGGAGCGTGTCTAAGTATGTAGTGATAGGTTTTCCTCTCAACTGCAAAATAAATCATTGTACATGAATTTAAACAAGAAGGTCATGGGCCTTATAGGTCACCTGAGCATCATGCAACAATTGGTTCAGGGGCCTTGAAATTCAAAATTATGGAAGAAAGGCCCCTGCTCATCATAGCTACATGTATATAGGTAGCCCATCTGCTTAATACCCAAGAGCAGAGAAGATTTTCAAAGATCGTGAATTAATTTAAGTTATGGTTTTGAAATCATTTAGTGGCATCAAACTTTCATCCATTGATGTTTGACGAACACTTGGCTTTGGTGCTGTTGGATAAAGGGGGGGGGGGGGGGCATGATTCAGTGTTCAGATCATGCTGAGAGAATTTCAGAATTTTACTGTCAATATTTTAAAAATCGAATATTAAAAGGAATAAAATTTTGCATATTTAATAAAGCAAAGCACAAGGCTGAGATTTAAGAGATTTAAATCCCTGCTATATATATATATAAACCAGGAAGTTAAATACCTGACAGGTAGATAATACAGGTAACTAGGTCATGTGACCAAAATCATAACATATAAAAACAACATCCAATTTATCGGCAGCCATTGCTGTTTCCAAAGTCAGGTAATATTTATATATAATTGAGCATTTTACCTACCACTCTAGAACAGTAAATATATAGGGATAGCCATTAATATATATATAGCTACATGTATAAAAGTTTTTTTTTTGAAAAACCAAATGTTACTAAAGATTTCTTAAGTCAATGAATAAATTATCAAATCTGATCCTGCTCCGAGTTTAATGTAGTTTCTTCATGTGGCCAACTGACAGCTCCGACTATCCACATTATTTCATAATTTAGAACAGGATTATGAGATAATAATAATCATGCAAACAGTTTGTTTGATAATCATGACATCACTCCTAGAGAATAGAAAATTCTAAATAAGTACACAATTCTTTTGTAATACATGTATCAGTGTATAGGACCAACAGTAATCCCCTCCCTGGGGTATGAACCCATTGAATTTTAGATTTTACTGTTGGTAAAAATTAAATAACAGTAGTATTCTGTGATGGAACAGATAATTTGCCCAATAAATGCCCCTCCAAAACTTATAAGGAACAAGTCAAATACCTAATGTTTTTTCCAAAAAAATCTTACCAACTTAGCTCTATATTTTAAAGCCTAATTAACTCTATACTTCAGAGTCAAAAGTTTAACCATGGATCCCCGTACCAGTGCCCAGGACGTGATGCGATGTGACCTGTGTGAGACCGCTGTGGTACAGATGCACTGTGATACATGTCTTGTCAACCTGTGTAAGGCCTGTGTGGGAGAACACATCTCAAAAGATGAATCCAAGGACCACAAAGTCGTCAAGTTTCAGTCCAGGAAATCTACCCCCCTCTACCCTGAGTGTAAACATCATAACAAACAGCAATGTACAATGTACTGTAAACAATGTGACATTCCTGTTTGTACAAAATGTCTTACATCTGATCAACACCTGGGTCACAAGTTATCAGAAATCTTACAGATTGTGGAAGATAAGAAGAACAAAATTATCAAAGATCAAACTGAATTAAAGGAGAAAATTTATCCCACCTACCAGGACATTGCCTCTGATGTACAAAACAGAATGAGTCAGTTAAAAAAGGAATATGGAGATCTCTCAACAGCCATAACAAAACATGGAGAAGACTGGCAGAGAGAAATTGACAAACTTGTCAAGAAACTTAAAGCTGAAGTTGATGAAATGAAAAACACACAATTACAAACTCTACAGAAACATCTGGATGAAATAAACAAGACAATGTCTGAAATCAAGGAAGAAATCAATTCAGTTGAAATGGCTATAGACACTAATGACTTATCTAAACTGTTTAGTGTTACATCAAAAATACATAGATACAGAAATCTACCACAAAAACTATCCCTGTCCTTACCAAAATTCATTCCAGAAAAAATTCAAGGAGAAAAACTCAGTAAACTGTTTGGAACTTTATCATCAAGTTCTTGGACTTCAGTTGAACATGGCTACAGCATGAAGGCAACACAGAAATTACCAGAAGCTGGATCCTCTCCTCCAGTCAAACAGCTGCTTGATGAACCGCTGACTGTAGTGACCATACACACTAAGTATGGAAAACTTTACAGTGTGGCCTGTCTGAATGATGAAGAAATCTGGACAAGTGGATATGACAGCACCATGAAACTCTACAGCATCAATCAGGGATCACAACTCAAGTCAATCAAAACCAAGTCAGGGGAATGGCCATCTGACATAGCAGTGACAAAAAGTGGAGATCTAGTTTACACTGATAAAGATGATAGAACTGTGAACATTGTAAAGAATGGGAAGACAGAGGAGGTGATCAGACTACAGAACTGGATACCTTGGGGTGTCTGTAGTACCTCCTCTGGTGACCTTCTGGTTATCATGGAAAGTTATGGCAAACCAGCAAAAGTTGTCCATTACTCTGGCTCCACAGAGAAACAAACCATTCAGTTTGATGATAATGGTAAATCTCTCTATTCGTCTCGTAGTTTCCGGTATATTACATACTACATAACAGAGAACAGGAACCTGGATATCTGTGTGTCTGATAGTGGAGCTAAAGCAGTAGTGGTGGTCAATCAGGCTGGGAAACTGAGATTCAGGTACACTGGACATACTCCTTCTCCAAAAAACAAACCATTCATTCCAGTAGGAATCACCACAGACAGTCAGAGTCAAATCCTTACAGCTGATATTAACAATAACTGTGTCCACATCATAGACCAGGATGGACAGTTCCTCCGTTACATAGACTGTGGACTGAGTAGTCCCTATGGACTGTGTACAGATAAAAGTGACAATCTATTTGTTGCTCAGATGAGTAACAGTCAAGTGAAGAAAATTAAATACATGTATTGATTTTAGGGCTGTGTATTGATTAAATAAAACCTATATGATACAATTCAATATGATAACTTAACTTCCTATTTACAGCTAATTAAACAAGAGGCCCATAGGCCTTATAGGTAACCTGGGTATCTTCCAGCAATTGAATATGATTCATGTTTTAAACCAAAGGCCATGAAATTCACAATTTTGAAAGAGGCACAATTGCTTATCATAATTATAGACTTAGCATGGCCATGCTTACTCTAGTTACTTAATACCCAGAGGCAGATCAGAGTAATAGAGAGAATGCACTTCCATTTTATATCCAGTTGTGCACCCACTGATCCTGGTGTTAGACCAGGTTACAGGATACTAATTTTACCCCTATTTCATTGACCACGCAAAGAGTTCCAGATTAACTAGAACTGTCCAAACGGGACGAAATACCCCCCGCTGGATTTTTCAGAAGTAAGTTTTTCCATAATAAAGAAATGAATCAAAATCAAAAATTATGAAATTTTTATTCCAGTGACCTTGAACTTACCCAAATAACCTGGTCATGACACACCCTTGGGTCATGGGCAATCTTTCAGTGAAATGAGAACCCACCAAGTTTATCCATAAGAAAGATATGGACCGGACACGAAGTTATGAAATTTTTCTTCCAGTGACCTTGAACTTCCCCAAATGACCTTGGGTCAAGGTCATGACACACCCTTGGGTCATGGGCAATCTTTGTGTGAAATAAAAACATACCAAGTTTATCCATAAGAAAGATATGAACCAGACATGAATTATGAAATTTTTCTACCAGTGACCTTGAACTTCCTCGTATGACCCTGGGTCAAGGTCATGACACACCCTTGTGTCATGGGCAATCTTTGTGTGAAATGAGAACCTACCAAGTTTATGCATAAGAAAGATATGTACCGGACATGAATTGTGAAATTTTTCTACCAGTGACCTTGAACTTCTCCAAATGACCTTGGGTCAAGGTCATGACACACCCTTGGGTCATGGGCAATCTTTCTGTGAAATGAGAACCTACCAAGTTTATCTATAAGAAAGATATGGACCGGACACAAATTATGAAATTTTTCTTCCAGTGACCTTGAACTTCCCAAAATGACCTTGGGTCAAGGTCATGACACAACCTTGGGTCATGGGCAATCTTTGTGTGAAATGAGAACCTACCAAGTTTATTCATAAGAAAGATATGGACCGGACAGGGAATATAAAAATTTTTCTTCCAGTGACCTTGAACTTTCCCAAATGACCTTGGGTCAAGGTCATGACACATTTTTGTGTCATGGGCAATCTTTGTGTGAAATGAGAACCTACCAAGTGTATCTATAAAAGATTTGTATCAAACATGACTTATGAAAATTTTCTTCCAGTGACCTTGAACTTTCCCAAATGACCTTGGGTCAAGGTCATGACACACCCTTGGGTCATGGGCAATCTTTGTGTGAAATGAGAACCTACCAAGTTTATCCATAAGAAAGATATGGACCGGACACGAATTATGAAATTTTTCTTCCAGTGACCTTGAACTTCCCCGAATGACCTTGGGTCAAGGTCATGACACACCCTTAGGTCATGAGCAATCTTAGTGTGGAGTAGTAGATTCTAATGTCCCTCTGTAAGAAAGATATGGACCGGACACGATTGCACAGACAGCTAGACAGACGGACGGACAGATGGACAAGGTGATTCCTATATACCCCCCCAAACTTCGTTTGCGGGGGGTATAAAAATAGAGGTTTTTTCATAAAAAATCTTGGGGGTGTATATGGGATGGAATGGGGTTATTTTAGGGCATAGATGGAAAGGAGAGGGTCTGAAAAAAATTAAAAAATTATGAATAATGGGAATTTTGCTATTAAGTGTGTAGTAGAAAGGGTGTAAAGAGGCCATTGTTTACCTGTTTCTCAAAGGGAAATGGAAATATGCAGGGTAGGGGTTAATTGCAGTGCCATAGCAAGGCTTGTAGACTATAGAATTTTCTGAGATTTAAGAATATTTTTGGCCTTGGATTGATCTAGCTCCGTGCCAAATTTCAGGTGATTTGAGGCGGTGAATTTTTTTTAATGATTTTTTATGTTATAAAGGAATGTATAGCAAAATAATTGGTAGTCCGT